AATAGTAATATTATTATCCTTGATGAGTTTGAATAAAGGAATCATATAAAAAACAATTTAGTTTGAATAATATGTTTAATAATAGAAATATAAGTGTTATACATTCAAATTCTTTAAAGTTATTAATAATATTTGTGATTTATTATGAATTATAATACTTGAGTAAGCAGGTATAATATAAACTGATGTATCAATAGTTACTAGTTTAGCTAAAGAGAAGGAAAGGAAAGGAAAGGAAAAAAAATGGTGGAGTAAAAAGACATTATTGGCAGATCGTTATAACTATGCAATCACTATATAATAGTTAACTAATTCTAAATTTGAGAGAAAATTTTTATATAGAATTGAAAAAAAAGAGGTATTAATAAAGGAACTTTTTAGAATTTTAATTTTTGTAGACTACAAGAAATTAAAAGGAGAAAAGACAAAGCAAACAGATGTAAGGTTAAGGATGAAATCCATATTAAAAACATTTTATGTTGTATTATTAAGTACTCTAATCCAGTTGATAATAATTTTACAAATTTTACTATAATATTTAAGTGAAATTATTACATAATAAGAAATGTAAGTTGTCATAAAACTTGGGTCATGAATTTGAAATCATAGATAAAATTGTAAAACAATCATAAAATATTAGAATATAGCTATTTTATTATTAATTTTGACAAGCTTCCTGCAATCCTATATACATCTAATAAAATGTGCCAGCTTACACTTGTCACCTTTTTTTCATCTTTTGTACCACTCTCTCTATTATCATTGAATTCTGAATCTGCCACATGGGACTGTTGTAATAGAAAATCATCATAGATTTATCGTAAGTCATCAAATACTTAAATCAAACATCATCATGTTCACAAACTTAATGATTTGTGAACTTACTCTTTCTTGCTTTTCTGTGTAATAACTATTTTCCAAGTCTGCTTGTCCTCTTTTAACGCTATTTTCATAATTTCCTGTTCTGTTCCTTCTTTGTCTCCTCAATCTTTTCAAAAACGTCCAGAACAAATTTTGCCATTTTACAAAAATTATCAATTGATCTTTCTTTTTAGTGGTCTTGACTCTTTCGTAGCTACCCTTTTCATAAATTGTTGAGTAATTTCATTAACTATTTTTTTTCTAGTGGCATACAGATACCCCTGATGAAATATGAAAAAAAATAATATACAGTATATATAATGCTTTAATGTAAAGTTTGAATAAATTATTTATCAAGACAAGCAATGAAATTTTATGCATCATTTATGTTACACGTTCTTCTTGAAATCCTTGAAAATATTTACAGGGTTGGTCTTATAAATACTGTGAAAAACCGATTTGTTTAAAAAAGCATTGATATGTTTAGTAACAAAATTGAACATACTTCAAAGTTCAGCGTCTCTAAATTAGAATTAACTGGTGATTCTTTTTCTTGGTAAATATTTTTACAACCTTTGCAGGAATGATATTTTCGTTCTCGATAAGAATTTATATGATTAATTTTCCATGATATTTGACAATTGCAGCCTAGCAGTTACTAGAAAGTGAAAACTCTTGTTTTACCAGCCCTATAAATAAAATTGATTTATGTTATATTTTCTATGTTTTTTCTGTAAAGAGCTCATTTTGGCAGAAATTTTATGTAAGTTATAGAGAAATAATAGAAATATTCGGGCAAAAAATTTTTATAGGACGGTAGAGACAAGATGCTTTTGTCATAGTTATTATTAGCTAATACGTATCTGTATTTTTTGTAATATTGCATTTGATTTGGACTATTTGGATTGTTAAGTGATGATGCCTATTTTTTCGAACTAGTTGTGTGGGTATGTGACTTTTAGAGAATACTTTATTCTTTTTTTAACGTCATTTAGTAATGCATATATCGACTTTTTGAAAACATTCAGCAGACAATTGACGTGTAATTTATTTATAGTTTAAATGAGTTTATTCTCTCTATATTATCATATTTTCGTAATCACGAAGAAATTTTCATGAATGGAAGAATTATTTGTTTTTATGTGATGTAAATGTGAAAAGTTCTCTCTCCTAAGGAGAAATCCTTTAATAATAGCAGATTAAAAAAGCGAAAAAAAAATTAGTTGATAAATTTGTAGCTTTTTGACAGGATGATAATAATAGTTTAAAGTTATTTAGGAAGAGGAAAAACCAATAACAAAGGGTTAGATAAAAGATTGTCACAAGAGTTTAATAAAAAATAAATACAAAATATGTCATATGCGAGATTGGGTATTAAATTAATTAACAACATTGATGGGTAGCTTATTATGATGAAATGCATATTTCACTATTATATCATTTACCTTGACCTTTCTGATAGAATTATAGACATTTGCCATTACAGTATTACGTAATTCATTTTATTTTGTTGTAATTAAGGGAGGTTGATGGCACAGCATTTATTTGTCACCAATGTCACACCTCCCTACTTTCATTTTTTATAAGTATTTCATTAGGAAATACCCCCTCCCCTATACTGTATATCACATATATGGCATTATTATATAAATGCATCACCAACCTTCAGACATGCACTTTTTCATTTTTTACTAAAGTATTCTTAATAAAAAAGCATATGGGGTGAATGCTACAAAAAGACCAAATTGAAAATTTTATCAAAAATTTATTCCTAAGTGAAGTAATATAACTTTTAATGTTTGATCCAGAACTTTAATTATTGTTTTCCACGTTTTTTCCGTGATGGGCTCATTTTCACGGATTTATAATCTTAAATCAGGGAAATTTTCATATCATTTATACGGATTCCCATTTTCACATGTAAGCCACGGAAATATTCGACGAAAATTTTTTCATATAAAAAATTATTTGATTTGACATTTTAGATATAATGTTTAAAAATTTAAAAATATACGACTTTTCAATATAAACAACGGGGGATGTCGAGAAATTTAAGTAATTGGATTACTTCATAATTTGGAAACGCTTTGTACTTCATTGTATGTATAGGCATTCAGGTGTAAAGTTTTACAATCAAAAAGTTATCATCTTTATAATATTTTGTTTTAAAGTAAAAAGTTGCTTTCAACTAAAATTTGATCTATAACAATAAAAAGCTCGAAATACATTAAATTTTATGTATGTATAAATTTAACTTTAGGAAATAAGCACAACGAATCGGAACATAACGCTTGACATTTCTGTATTTTTTTTTTTACGGTCGTGTCACGATACAGTACAACATACATATAATCCGAAACGTGGATATAATAGAATTCTTTTGTCTCTCCTCTAAAATTGTAAAACAAATTAATTAATGTAAGATGTAAATTATGACAAATACGAGAGTCACAAATATTTTTTTTCCACGACGGAGGTTAACTTTTAAAGAACCCGGATGATAAAAGTGCTGTTGCTAAATTTGAACAAATTATAGGTAAAACATGGCCTATGATAAGGAATTTGGTTGTTTTAATAAGCAATAGCTAAAAACGAAAAAAAATTCTTTCTTTTTGCCTGCATGATACTATATTTAGCATTGATTTTATGAATAAATGACCTTGACGTAAAAACTAATGTGTTCATGTACAAAATTTCGTACGACAAATAAGAGATGAATAAATTGATCAATTTAACGAAATGATGGTAGTAGAACTTGAGAAATTATTTTTATTTTTTTTTGATTTCTTTGCATATAATTAATTTGCTAATTAATTAATTGATGTTCATACATGAAGGTTGATTGGTTAATCAAACAAAATAAGTCTCTTTATAATACCGTCTGTCCAAAGAAATTACAAATTTTGCCTTTTCCCAAATATATGAGAACAAAAGGTTGTTAATCTTAGAAATATAGGGTAACAGGAAAAGTTAACGGAACCGCGACAATGCGAAAAAAGAAATTGATTGTCTGAGTGGAATTTCTTTGATCGTACGAGAAATTATAAGCGAATCAAAAGATTCGATTAAAATTTTCTATTTAAAAGATGGTAAAGGGATCTTTGTTCAAATCCAACAATAAAAAATATCAGGAGTACATTATCAAAGAGGTTTCTTTTTGACTGAATTTATGTGGTAACATTCGATTGATGTTACAATGTGAAACGTTGTACTCCTATTGTGAAATTAGATGTATCTGTTTCAAGTTTTACTTAATATCGGTAATTCCGGTCGTACAAAACTTCATTATGTTAATCGAATTGCAAGATTTCAACCTTAAAAAATTTTTTTTGGTTTCAAGGTGAAATTAATTAATTTTAAGTTTATCAATTACATGCGGAATTTTTATTTTAAATATGCACGATAAATATATACTCGTTTTGGTGCATATCTTGTTTCTATTTTTTATTTTGAAAATTAGAGTATCACCAAGAAGAAAAAGAAAAAAATAATGAAACATAAATAATGCATTGATCTCCTATTCCACACATAACCATTTAAGAACCAATCGCATCGGAAAATCCCGCTTAAATTTCCGCTTGATGACGATTTTAATTATTTTGTATTCTATTAAAGTTATCCCCATTTGAAGTAATCCAAACATTAAGGTATGTCTTTTACTAATTGGGATAATTCTATTTATGGCATAAAAGATATGTCAAAGAAATTAAAAAAAAAAAATTGGGGGTATTTTGTATTATATATGGATATTTGTAGATTGGAACCGTTTGTCTGTTTTGTTCTCTTACCTTTCTCTCGTTTCCATCCCTTCCTAACAATTCCCTCCCTTATCATTAATTTCATGTTAATTTTTATTTTTTACGTTCTTTTTTGGCGATAAAAAATAAAAATAAAATAAATCCCGTCCTTCGAGAGAAAGTCAACTCAAATTCTCGCAATTCTATATATATCATCTTGTCATTCTCCCTTAATCTTCAAAGGAAATAAAGGGGAAACAAGGTTGTCACCTGTTAATAATAAATTTCTTGTAAAAAATAAAATAAAAATAATTTATTACCGACAGTTTTCATGCTGGTGCATGACTTGTTAAATAAATAAATAAATCAATATACCTCTTTAGATTAATTTTAAAAAAAAAAATGGCACGAATAATCTACAATGGCATAACCAACCTAATAGGAATATTGTTGGCGTTAGCACTGTGTGCATTACTTCCAACAAACACTCAAGCTACCACTTCACTTTCCGAGAAATATCGTGAATGTGAAAAAAAATTTTGGTTCAAAAATTTTTCGGATTTTAAAAAATCACAAAAATCAAAATGTTTCAAAGACAAAGATCAAAAAGAAAAGAAACGTCATCAACATCGTCTTTGCAAAAATGAACCTTACGATAAAAAGGAGATTTTATTGAAATGGCAAAAATATTCTAATTGTCGTTGTAAATCCGCTTTAAATGACCTTAAAGGAAAAGAGAATTATTATGTTTGCTATCAAATCGCTCAATTTAATAAAGCTTCGGGTGAATTTCTTGGTGAATTATCCGTATACAAAACTGGGGATGAAAATGTTGACGTGGCCCTTAAATTTGCTGATCCTAAAATATTTGATGGTCAATGGACTGAAGATGATAAAGGTTTCTTTCATTCAAAGAAAAGTCCTCAATTGGTTGGTAAAGATGGTAAATTTTCAATTGAAAAGTATTATATTTCTGGTAAAATTCCAAAGAATAAATCCTTGAATAAGATTACTTCAGATGAAATTTCTCCGACTCAATTAACTGTTGGGAATGATCAATCAACAAGTGTTCTTCTAGAAAAAGATCAAGAAACTATCATTCCCTTTTCTAAATTCGTTAATAATGAGTTGAATTTTCAAACTGGGAAGAATCCGAATGACCCAACTGACAACGGAAAGAATCCCAAGAATCCGGATGGCACAGCTGATAACGGAAAGAATCCCAAGAATCCGGATGGCACAGCTGA